AAGGAAAAAACAACAATCAAGCGTGACAAGGGCAATAAAAAGAACAATGTACTCGTAGCGGAGATTTCTAAATGCGAATTTAACATTTAATGCGAGAACACTATTAAACGTGCAAGCTGTTTATGTATGCCTGCCGTAAAGGTTGTCTGACAACACGCAACCCCTTCGCTTTTTTAGTTTTGCCAAGTTTTTTCCTCGGCCAAGCTGAAGTTGACTAACCTGCACTTAGCGAACTTTTTCTATGGGGATTCTTTAAATTGCAAAGGTACTTGCGGTAGGGTATCCTAGTAACAATGTTAATTGATGTAATTACAGTAGTTGCTCGGCCATAGCGGAACCAAATCTGCGTAGTTTTGTTGTAGCAGTGTTTTTTATATGTCTTCAGGGAAAAACTTTGAAGATAATTTAGAAACCTTTCATTTGGCTTTTCATTTTATAAATATACTTCACAAAATCAGTATTTTAATGTGTCTGGCGTTTTCTTTTGCATCCGGTTAAAGATGGAGATCAGATCCTCGTCCGTTACAAAATAGACAATATTAATGTCTTCACTGAATCTGTTTCTCCCACAATCCACAACTAAACAAGTTATTTGAACTTTGTCATCTCTTTGTTCGTTAATGAACTGGCGCCGCGAGTCCCGTTAGCTAAATGAAACGAATTACAGATGCTTTTGTTTAATAAACATTACCCTCGGCAACAGTTAGCGCTGCACCAAACCGATATCCGTGATATAACTACGAATGTAAATTATTGCACTTTGATAAAAAAAGATTTTATGATAGCATAAAAGTTACCGATGAATTAGTCACTCGTTTAAGTTTGAATGAAAGGAAGGAAGTTGTTAAATGTTACTTTATACGTGAGATTCCACGGGCGATAATTTGTAAACGAATTGTAATGAGCAATACAATCCTGCCTTTGAATAGACACTGCCGCTTAGGCGATTTTATAGACGCTTTAATATTCATTGCATACGGTATCAGTATTGTCAAGTGACGAGGAGTGAGGCGGGTTGTAGGAGGCTTTTATACGCTCACTTCCGACTATTGATAACCTGACTGACTGTGAATATCACGACGGATACCTGTTAGTTACATACAATGAAATTATTATCGGGCGATGGGCTGTTACTAACGCGGGCGGAATAATTCTTTATACTTAATTATAAACAACTAGGTACTTTCTAATATTTAATCATGAATGCTATAATTAATGCTAAATAGGTCCAGGACACAATTAACACTAAAAAGCGTAGGACTTCTATTTTTAGGATTGTAGAGTCACATGAGTAAAAAACCTTTATTGATGTGATAGAGTCGTGTCCTAAAAGCGAAGTTAAACTACAGTATCATTAATTATGCAAACACAACTAGACAAACGTACAAATAAAGGTTCTTAGTCATCAACGTAGCGTAAGTGGATAAATTTAAATCCATCAATAGAAAACAATCACGTCTGTCCAAGCGCGCGTCTTTCAATAATTCAAGAGCTGGCCGTCTCATTAGAAGTCGCGAATGGTCGAAATAGGGCGCGTGGCGTCCGCGAGTTTGGCCACGCGGCCGTTACGGGCACGGCGCGGCGCGGCGCGGGCGTCCGGTGCGCGGATCAGCGGCCGGATATCCACGCGGCGCGGGCGCAGCGAGTGCACTCACCCCGCGCGAGCTTGCGGCCGCCGCGTTAGTAGGGTGCTCGAACGCTCGTAAGCTTCAGTGCAGCGGGAGAGTCTGTAGCCGGTCTTTATTAAGGCTCAACATTGATACATTATTACATATTATGTAATTAAATATTCGGTAGACTATATGCACCCATGCGTCTATGGCAGGGGTGATCGAACGCTCGTAAGCTTCAGTGAGCGGGAGAGTCTGTAGCCAGTCTTTATTATGGCTCAAAAGCTGTATTATGTAATCTGAATAATAATATGTATATTATTTGGTGGATTAACTATATGCACCCGTGCGTCTATTCCAGGCGAAAGCTCGTTGTAAGCTTCAGCGCTTTTAATTCCCAAATGTTGTATTCTAAGTTGTATTATTCGCAGATCTTAGTCGATAATTTGTCATCTAAATATTAGGAAAAAAGTCTAGAGAATATACGCATCAACTGTTTAAAGGGTTTGATGATAAATTGTTAAAGATAGGTTGATTTATTCCGTGATAATAATCACCAATCACTATTATAGCTTTAAAATTAGCATGCCTGTGGTAGGTCCTAGGAATAGTGCGGTAAATGAATAAATCAAGATCTTGGTAAAATTACCATGCATTTTCTTCCATAGCAAATTAAGATTAAATCTTTCAGCAGTGAATGTTCAAGTGATTTAATCTAACGGAATATCTTAGATCAAAAGGAGACGAGAGCCAATTTTTTACACCCTCACAGTTTGTTTGCGGTTGAATTGATGCTGGACTAGTTATTGTATTGTAAAATCTTGGAGAAAAACCAACAAACTTGTCGTCGAGTGTCTCCGATGTACAAACACGGACGGCGCGTTCGGATGCGCGCTGCGTGCCCGTAGCCGGCGCGCGCATCAGTATGCCGCGCGCGCGCGCGACGTGATCCGCCTCCCCGACGCTCATTGTTGCCGTGTACACTCATCTTGCTGTCAACCACCACTTTCTAAACGACTAACGATCGCCTTTTATGCCAATATATCGCTTTGTAATTTCATACTTCTTAGAAATCTATCAATTGAATAGAATTCTTATACCAACTAAAGAACGATCCCGTTAAATCATTACTCTTTATTTATTGGTCTATCGATGAAGCGGAAATGTTATCTAATCTGTTATAAATCTAATGCATAAAATACAAACTTGTTAGCGATTACGGAAAGCAATAAGATACAGCAAATAAATAGCAATACGACTAATACGAGCTTATAGCAACGCGTGCTTTCTACAAACGAAAAAAAACTTTTAACAAAACGTTTTGCAAAGGACGTATACAAAGTTGCGGAGATAAATTGCTAACGCTAATACACAGACTTCAGAATACGGCATTCATCAGTGAAAAGATTGTATAAAAGGTAAAAGAGAAGTACGCGAGTAATGCGCGACATCGTTTATGCATGAGGCTACATTATGCATGGATTCCAATCGCGGGCTCAGAGCCTCTAATAGCCGAGTAAAGCCCAGTTGTAGGCCCACGCCTCTCGTATCTTATACAATTGACTCTCGGTGGACGTAGGCAATAACCTCTTAGAAAGACATGTACTTAGCTTACTCATTTTAGTGATTCGAGTTCTCAGTATGCAGCGAAATGGTGCTTAGAGATATGAGATATTCGCTTTCATCCGATTAAGTACTCAATAAAATTCATTGCTTTTGTGCGCGGTAATTTTATCACATAATTCGCATTTCATGGGGCGACCATGTAANTTACTGATACGATAATATTTTATGTCTATTTTTTCTCTCGGACAGATCGAGTGACAGCGTTTATCGATCTCCGGAGCAATTAATGAGTTTACAGCTAGTATGCTAATCGGATCAACGAATCGCTGTAAATTCTCTCCCCGCAAATCTTTTCCGCCACGTCTAGTACGATGCAGGATGCCTTTAATTACGATTATTAATCGCCTTCGTGATGGCTATAAAGCCTGTTCGCGTTCGAAGACAGGATGTTAATCTTCATTTCCTTTCAGGATTATCCGGATAAATCATTTATTAACGTGTTTAAGATCGTGCGGGAATTCGATTTCAGATTACATGTAATACGAGTAGACGAGTGATGTAAGTTGGAATTGCGCATGTCTTTTTACACAATGAAGTCATTCTGTATTCATTTTGTATGTGATGATGGAGATGAAATGCGCAAATGCTCGTTGATTTTGCCGGGAGTGGATGACAGTGCATTTCCACTTAATCGATGTTATTCACCGTTGCTTTGTGTCAGTGTACTATCCTTCGGCTCTTTATGTTAAGGTTTCTGCGCTCTTAAGACGATTATATTTTATTATCAACCCGAGCTGTTTCAATTGAAATTCCAATAGAGTCGAACCTTTGTACAACTTAGTCGAAGATAGCTTTAAGTCGTATTGTAGCTATTAATCGGTTTTATCGCGTCCATAGATCTTTTAATTAAGACATAATGTAGAGATCGAATGGTCGCCCTTATATCGGTTTCATTGCATTACCAAATTAGGGAGTAATAAAGCTTGCATCGACCACAACAAGACATGGACATTGAATTTAATTAAGCATGCTATAACCGAGCGGTGGTCCGACCGCAAACATTTCGCCTGTATGTTATACACGTTCACACACATTATGTAGTAATCGTGCTTTCATGAAGACCGATTTTATGGCGACTGTTCGCGAATTTGAATGCCAAATAAAAAATATGGCTCATTACGGAGCTTTGAGTACTGTGATCTGACTCAGTTCTCAATTATTTTATCATATTTGAATATTTTAGTTCACATTAATGAACATAACATTAACGCAATTGTCCTTTTTTTTAAGAATTTACAAGTAAGATGATTGGAAACTGTGCCTAAATAACGACAGTCATGTGACAATACGACGTGACCTGTTTCGGGGTCACACTCGTACTTATGAGGAGAGATCCATTGTGGCGTCCCGCGGCACTCGCGGGCGTACTCCCAAATTAATGACTACAATGAATACAGTCTTCACTCGACTCGTGTGCTCTGAATTTATAACTAAAATATTTGACTGACGCGATATTAGTACATGTACTAGTGCAGTTCTAGTCCTAAAATTTTAGCTGAAGTTAAAACTTACAAAGTTCTAGGATTTCCTACAAATGCATTTTATCATGAGTCTTCAAGGTTTTTGATAAGTTAGAAGTAGTCACCATCCTCAATCTTGAGGGACCGACTAGGGTAAGGAGGAGAGGCAGTTAAATTAACAACCCAGTCTGTTTCCCTAAATATTGATATGATTGATATTAAAACCACAAATTATAATAATTACGTAAACTGCATGCATTCAAGAGTATTTACCTCGCTAATTTGAAACGTTTCTTTGTTGCAGCTCAACGAATAACAACGATACAGTTAGACGGCGTGCAGTACTTCATCTCACGGATGAACCCGTACAGCCCGGAGCTAAACTACTTCCTAGCTTATCAGTACTGCAGGTATGTATTCTTGCACACGTAAAAATCCGTTACAGCACGTTAGTTTCGTGCAACGCGATAAACTTGGCATCGTGACTCGCAATCCTTATCGGCAGTGTCGTGTTGCTCGCCGGTCCTGTTTACGTCCAGCGAGCAAACTTCGGCCGGCGTTAACAAGCGTGTATCCAACGCCTTACGACCAGGAAGTTGCACTACAGGGACATTTGCATTACCGTTAAGGGTTCTGGGAAAACTTGAGAACAATATTGGCACCTCGGTGAGCTACTTCCGCGGGTCGTTCGCCCTGGAACACTGGGACAAAGGGCTCGGGAAATTCAATGAGGCAGCGAGCACACGAATGATTTATATCCGGAATGTTCCCATGTGGAGTTATGCACGTTTGAGCGCTATTACTAGTAAAAGCCTTTCTGTAATGCACACGCCAGCGAACCATTGTTAAGGAACATGGAAAATGTAATGCGGGTTCGCTAATAAACTATCCGAGACAGCTAATTTCGAGAATACAATCTGCAATGGCTATCTTAATGCGGGAATTTTTATTGTGATATGATCTTGATCTTTGATAAAGCCATATTAAGTAAGGCTCAGATCTAATGGAATGTCGCGTTGAGCCGGCGCATCTTTCACAGGCCACGTGCACTTTAAATTTGCCCGAAAGGTCAGTCGCCTTGCGGCGCGGTCACGATGTCCTTCCATAACTGTCACGACCTATTTACGGGTCCGATTGTTGGCGATGGGAACCCTCGTGATATTTGAATGCCGTCGCGTCGGCATAACATCGAGAACTGTACTCTGATAATGAGCTTTTGTTAGAACGTGATATTAATAAACTAGTACCACGCCGCATCGTACTCTAAAGTATACAGCAGTGAACAGAGCTTAACAAGCTATTCAGGTTACGAGCAATTTAATTTCCCACGATTGCTTGAGCGTTAAAAATATTAATGGGCCAATTTTAATAGCTCTACGTGTCAATTTTGACATACAATTTTAGGGAACCATTTGGGAAGGAGGTGATTGTGTAAATGTAAATGATTTTGATTCATAATTTTACGTTAACATGCAAATAGCGTAGAGTGAAAACTTTGCTTAGTATTCCAAAGACATTGTATTTGCAACCGGTTCGATTCGTGGCCGAATGCGAGTTGTGAGGTGCGTATTTATTGCAAGTTAAAAAATATGTTTATGGCTACGTGACCATGTTTTGTTACGGTCGTCTGTCGTAGCAAATATGTTTACAAGTACGGCTCTGTGAACAGGTTACTTATCCAATGTCACAGCGTCATATACGCCTATGTGTCACAGTCGAGTTCTAAATCGATTAAGGTCACGTCTCATCATGGAGGGAATTGAGATGGGCGTAAAAAATGAGGTAGATACGAGTCGACATGCGTGTCGGGTGAGACGATATCAGCACCAGATGCATGACAGACTGTCAGTGCCCTCGACGCGTAATTCATTGACAAAATGAGGACCGTGGTTGAGGATTTTTTTATTACATAATAAAATAATACTCTGCAGTAACCCAAAATAAAACGGTATAAAATGAGGTAGAGACGGAACATGTGATACATATTTTCAGTGAAACTCAAACCAGCTTTTTGAAGCTCATAAAAGCTGCAACAGTTATGTATGATTTATCTGGACAACTGATAACTGTGTTCACATGCCGACTCCACTCATTTGCAGTCGCCGTAGACACACTGATTGCAGTCGTGATACATTCGTATCGTGGTCGCTTTGATCGCGACACTAAAAAACTGGCTAACGGGACTGGGTGACGAGCCTCGCGACACCCATTAGCGAACCGCAAAAGTAACCACACCATTACTATAAATATGACGGTGTTATTAACGACGCAATAATAAATTTTCAACTTGCGTGCAATCAAAAAAGCTAATGAACAATTTTAGGGGTTCATTAATTTTCCGAAACATTCCGAAAAGTCCGGTTTGTAAATATGAATTCCACATTATTGCTGCTACAGACAAGACGGTGCAATGTTAAAAATGTATACTCGGTAGACTTATGAATGCCGATGATAACAAAGCAAAAACCTCGAAGCAGTTATGGCGCCTCAGACACTCGGTCCAAAGCCAATACATTGTTAATTTCACACGGAGTATTATTTATGATGTATTAATTTAACACAAAAGGCGAAATAAAAGCTAATAATAAAGCTCCCGTGGCGCCAATGAGAGCTTTGTAAGCTTACAATTACAAGTTTATGCCCGGTTTGAAATATCTGGTTTGATATTGGCACTAGATTACACGTTTTGCAGGCAGGCTGTATAATTTCATAATTTAAAAGGTTATTTCAATCATAATAATTTATGATTGATTATAATAAAGTCATGATAAGCCATTAAGTGACTTTTGATGTGACTTAAATGAAGGATCTTGCGGAGGATAAATACTATAGTTCTCGATGTACTTATTGTCTACATTTGGTTTTCAAAGCCGCAGTCCATTGGATCAAAAGGCCAGCTGTCCCACCATTAAACTGCGGAGGCGTTGTGCCATTACGTTTACAATGAAAAATTTATGTAATAAAACTAGATGGCCTGCAAAAGTGTTATTGTTATTACAAAATGTTATAGCCGAGTGTCACGATTATGGCACGTCGCCGGGGTTTTATTTAATCTTTAAGAGTTTTCTGAACTTGCGCCTGGAATGCCGTCCCGTCGTTACAAGGCCGCAGCCTGTCTTTAGCGAATAAATTGCCTCCGATGAACCAGCTCCACCGTATGGTATCTGCGAGAACTAATAGCTGAATACGATTAGCTGGGGTGGTTATTTAGCGAAGTCCCTTTATAGATCCGGTGGGACGGGTGAGACTGCGCTATGTCATATGAGGACATCTCGTTAAACCTGCACGTTAGGTAATACTTTATATCTTCAGTTCCATTTCATTCGCGATACCTGTTTGTGGATCTAACGCGAATCCAGTTTCCTTAGTGTGAATCTTGTATGTTACAATGTAGAAGGTGTCCTTCCCTTTTATATTATACATGGATTTTATCGAACGTGTCGTAATTTGTTTCCAGATCATTAGGCCTGCAACTGGCGTCGTTCGAGACGAAGGAGAAGGCCGACTCTATAACGACTTATCTCACAAATGCAGGTAAAAAACCTTATATTTTATGTGTGAATTTTTATGAGGGCCCGGATACACAAAGCTCCTCTTCGCCGCATTTTTAATGAAAGAACGTTATAAAATAATTTATTATTTCCGATAAGTGGTAAAGATAATGTTTAATATTTGCCATTCGAATGCTTGGTTTTCAAGCGTGAACTTTCATTTCCTACTGTGATTATAATCAAGCCCTGTAACGGGCGAAGGAATATTTCCGCTATTAAAATTATTATAACTATTGAATAATAATGTAGCGTTTGCTACTATAAGATGAAAGATAAGTGCGAATAAATATTGATTGTTTAGTTATAATAACCATTCTCCATATTGCAATAAATTGTTACAACTACTGTAAATGTCCATTTGAGCTCGCATGAACGACTCGATATTGCTCTTATCATGTTATCACAGGTATTCAATACTAGAACATTATTTTGAAATTGCGAGATTTAAGCACAAACCACTCTGCTGTAGTCCAGCTCCCTAGAGCTAGACCACGTTAAGTTCGTGACTGGTTCTCTTCACTGTACCTACCTCTTTTTGTACGAATTCGTAAGAAGCGATCAAAAATCGAAACAGTCCCGGTCCGTTTTCTAGAGGTGCGGTACGCAAACGTAGTTTAGCATCTGTCAAATAGTCCAGATCTCCAGATTAATCCTTTTGCTTATTAATTTAATTTTTTACGTTTGTTACTGTGTTTAGGAATACACAAACCACCAGACTGTCAGCAACTAATTCAAAACGTCCATAATTTAAACTTTGCTTCATTCTCTACTCCAGGCTACAACAAGTACGACTTCTGGACGTCTGGCAACAATCTCGGCACAGACATGTACTTATGGATGAGCACGGGGCTTCCATTCAACGCCACCTTCAACTACATGCGCCGCGTCGCCATGGACCCGCCCAGTCAGCATGCTGATGATAGCATCGACCCGTTGGACGTGCCGCAGGGCAGCACCGCGCCGCAGCGCACCGCGAGGCATGGGTACGCATTGACACTTGTTTTTTTTTTATCTGTACCATGCACGTTCTCATGGCACTGGCATTTTTTAATCTGAAGCATCTAGGTTCCCATGGCACTTACTTATTTTTAATCTATTGCATCAATATTCTCTCTGCACTTGCTTTTTTAAACTTTTCCACACACATTCTCATGGCACTGACATTTTTTCGCCTGTTTCTTATAACACCCTCATGGCAATGGCATTTCTAGTCTGTTCCATTCACATACTAATGGAACTTGCATTTTTTTAATTGGTTAGTTCTATTCGAGTACCACCTTCACAAAAAATTTAGAACTTATCAAATGTGGCACAGTTCATGCCTAAAGACATTATTATGGAAACATAAATGATGTCACCGTTACGGTATATTTCTTCTACTTCTATTAAAAAGTTGTTGTGAATGTGTGTAAATTGATTTACCACTTTCCTGTGATTGTAATCGATACTAAAGATCTCAATTTTCCCAGCTAATATTTATTTATAAGGTATCGCTAATTTTATATCTGGAGTTGATTCTGTTCTCAGCTATTGTTCTTGAAGTTTTAATTAAATTATTTCTCAGCCACTCGTCCGTAAATATTACTTTACTGTTTTGTAAAAAGCTTACCTATGTTTTGTTGTTGTAAGATTAATTACTTTTATTTATACTAAGTGGTACAAAATATTTAATGTAATTAATGAAGAAGAACACAGGCAAGAACATGTTCATTGTGAAGTATTTTTTCTAATAGATGTGTTAAATGAAATTATAGATAGCATCTTGACTTACGAGAATGTTTTATCACTTACGAGGCACGCAATTTAAATGTAGAGCTGTCATTACCTTCGTTAGAACCTAGACTACATGAAATTGATTTAAATATGCATTTATTTTAAATGAGTTTTTCTATGAAATTAATTATGAATCAGCCGTGATATTTGCGAGAGTCCGCAAGCTCGTTGGTTCATGAAATATATTCGTCCGCGCATGCGCGTCGTTCACATATTAGAACAGGTTACGTGCATGTAATGGGATTTTTTTCCTCGGAAAATTGATAGTTAGAGGCTTTCCCACGTCGCGCCCGGTTGCATCCTGCACTTATGTAACATTGCCCTTTATTAGTGCACACGATTAGTATAATTACGTGGTTCGAGTTCATTATACTCTAACCGTATTCATTTATCTCTGCAATCAGCAATGTATTTATGGGACAGTTATTCAATTTTAATAAATGTTTTAGAATATTAATCATTCTTTATGCATGATTCAAGCTTTAAATAGTCCTTTGGGGANCCTACGGTTGTAAGATTAATTACTTTTATTTATACTAAGTGGTACAAAATATTAAATGTAATTGATGAAGAAGAACACAGACAAGAACATGTTCATTGTGAAGTATTTTTTCTAATATATGTGTTAAATGAAATTAATTATAGATAGCATCTTGACTTACGAGAATGTTTTATCACTTGCGAGGCATGCAATTTAAATGTAGAGCTGTCATTACCTTCGTTAGAACCTAGACTGCATGAAATTCATTTAAATATGCATTTATTTTAAATGCGTTTTTCTATGAAATTAATTATGAATCAGCCGTGATATTTGCGAGAGTCCGCAAGCTCGTTGGTTCATGAAATATATTCGTCCGCGCATGCGCGTCGTTCCCATATTAGAACAGGTTACGTGCATGTAATGGGATTTTTTTCCTCGGAAAATTGATAGTTAGAGGCTTTCCCACGTCGCGCCCGGTTGCATCCTGCACTTATGTAACATTGCCCTTTATTAGTGCACACGATTAGTATAATTACGTGGTTCGAGTTCATTATACTCTAACCGTATTCATTTATTATCTCTGCAATCAGCAATTAATAAATATTTTAGAATATTAATCATTTTTTATGCATGATTCAAGCTTTAAATAGTCCTCTCGGTTAATAAGCCAGTTCCTGAGGAAGTTCGCGATGGATCGCATAGATTTAGCTGGTTTTATGCCTCATTATCATCACGGAGACAAACCCTGTACAGTAAATTAGTTTGAAATGCTTTAGAGAAATTCTTAGAGGTGGTCTTCATGGGTTAGGGTCATACTTTCAATATAACCCCATGGTTTAAAATATTGCTTTTATTCTTGTGAACTTTTCTTCATCGAAATTCCCCCTCTCTTAAACCCTGATTAGAATTACTTAGATTTGAGATGAAATTAAAAATCGGGAACAGCCTTATAGAGTTTCGAATTGTTTAAAATGCATTTATAACGTGTATTGCATAAAAACTAGTCGGTATTCCAGGACGGAGCACGTGATGACGAACGGGTGCGTCGCGCTCAAGGCGCCCACGTTCCACTGGGAGCCGCAGCACTGCGGAGAGATCAAGGACTTCATCTGCGAGCAGACGCGCTGCTACTACTACAACTACGGCTCCATCCCCGTCTCCTCCGCGCAGGGGTAATGCCAGGTGAGATGCCAGCCGTCTCCGGAGGCCCGCTCCCCGACAAGCCGCGCGCTCTCCCCTATCTCCCCCCAGTCTCCCATTAGGTACTGTAGTTGTGCTAACTTAGTGTGTGTCACGGTCCGATACCGTAGAAGCGCGCGGGCCCGCGGGATTAGGCCTCTGCGCCAACCCAACCACCAAACAAGAGCCCTACACCCAACAACGTTTGGCATGAACGAAAATTTACATTATTGTTTCCAAATATTTCAAACAACTTTTCAAAATTTACAAAATTTGGTGGGTGGGTGAAGGGGGCTTTGCTTGGTATCTCTAGTTCATTGTTTGTTAATATGATTTTATGTTTTGTTCTAATAACTTAATTTAGTTTTGTTAATAACTAACATGTTTGATAACGGATTTGACCGAGTAGTTAACGTGAACATTGAACATGGACAGCTTCTAAGGTGAGGAGAGTCGTTTATATTTCCATAGTAGCATCTGATCGGAAGGATGCGTCTTGGTGGATCGTGGATCCACGAAAATAGTTCGCATTTTCTCGAAAATTACCAACGTTGACATTCAACGTCTGTCTGTCACTAGGCAAACAAATGTAGTTTTTACTGCTCTCTTTCTCTCATGAAGCTGTTTCCCTGTTCTCATTACATTTACACTCGAGTTTTTGTATTTTTCTATTATGATTAACCCTTATCCGGCTAATCAGTGGAAAGTGTATCATTTCCACTGCTCAGCCGTGGTTAGCTGGCGCAAGAGTGCGCCGTCGAGCCTNAAAGTTTACATCATTGTTTCCAAATATTTCAACAACTTTTCAAAATTTACAAAATTTGGTGGGTGGGTGAAGGGGGCTTTGCTTGGTATCTCTAGTTCATTGTTTGTTAATATGATTTTATGTTTTGTTCTAATAACTTAATTTAGTTTTGTTAATAACTAACAATGTTTGATAACTTGATCAAGTATAGCGTATGTATGGACAGCTTCTAAGGAGAGAGTTAGAGATATTTCTAATACAATATTAGTTGTATCTAATCGAAAGGATGCGCCTGAGAATTCTCGAAAGTAAATCTCGTTTTCCAGAGAATTAATGATTGACATTATTTGACTCTTTTTCTTTTTTAAAAATATAATGCATCGCAATCTCTAAGGAAGTTGTTTCTCTGTACATTATGTTCTCGGTATATTTACACTCACATTGTTTTTGAGAGTTTTTGAATTAATATTCTGATAAGATTAACCCTCATATTCGGCTAATCAGTGGAAAGTGTATCATTTCCACTGCTCAGCCGTGGTTAGCTGGCGCAAGAGTGCGCCATCGAGCCTCACGTTCTATTGCACAGGAAACCGCTATCGCTGACGACCACGACCACCGCGCACCCGCTCACATCGTCGTCACCGCCGCCGCCCATCAACGAGCACCTGCCCACCCACTTCACACTAAACGACCTCATCGGTAAGATGCGGCCCTCGTCGCTGGACGGGCTGCAGTCGCCGCACCTCAAGACCGGGGCGCTGCTGAAGGCTCCTCCGCAGATCGACTCGCACTACTCGCGGGCTTCGGACGCGCACGCGCGCGAGCACGACGAGCCGAAGGAGGAGCCCACGCAGGGCCCGTACGAGGACGACGAGGGCATGGCGGGCGACGACCCCGCGGCCTACCTGGCGCACGAGCCCCGGGCCGCCGACGACGCCGCCTCCACCGCCGAGCCGGACGCCACTGAGCACTCCGTCCACGCCAGCGGCATGCTGGCACCCCCCGCCTACTAGCGTCCGGCTCCACAGTCCACATCGCTAACTGACGCGCTCAGACGCGTTACCAAAAGTATTATTCTCTTCCCATGAGGCGATGTAGGGTGCTTAACTGTTGAGGGTGCATTTATACGCCTCGGTTTTAACGATAATGTACATGGATTTTTTAGGGTCATAATTTTTTTTTTATCGACAAGATTATGGTGATTTCGAAGATTTCTATGGGGCAATAATACATTGAAGGTGCTGGCGACTCGCGAGAAGCGACTTGCCTCCGTCTTCGAAGTGAATATCACAGAATAAGTATTCCACTGATTATAGGTACCTAAACTTCGCTAAGATAAATTAAGATGAGTGTAAGATCTCTGGTGTTTCCGTTTAAACCGTAAATGTATTAATTTAATATAAGAAAATTAAGCGGATGTTATTTTGTCAGGACATATCATTCGAGATAGAACTATAAGATAGTGTTTATATATACGTGACGTACCTAGTTAAGTGTATTAAGTTGAATCTCAAGAATTTAAAGAATAGTGATGTAGCGAAGGTAATAAAGTTTAAACTTTTAAATTACTTGTTTCATTTTGTGATATAACCGTATGACGAGTACTGACTGACGACGGCACACACATTGTAGTTTAATATTCACCACAAAGTTTAAGAGTAGTCGTAAAAGTTGGGTGAATTCTTTCACCATTCTTTCACCCAAATGTGGTTGGCAAGAATTCACAACAGTTGTAAAAGACTCACCAGCCGTTGACGACGCCTTCCACGTTGAGCATGGGCACGATCTTGAACACGTATTTGGCTCGCAAAGCCGCAGCCGCAGTGGAGTCTCCCAACAGGCAGCCCATGGTGCCGTCCATCACCCAAGATGCGTTGCTTTCGCCAGGGTGCACGCGGGCCGTTAGGAACACTATCTCTCTGTCCTGCAAATAAGTCAAACAGTCAATTATTAAAATGTAGGGCATGGTGACTAAACGTTTACAATATAAGGGTGTAGGTACACTGAGGGTTCACCAACACTTCATTACTAATAGACTAATGCCCCTTTTCACCATAAATCCCTAATTTTTAAGTGACATCTATGAAAGCAAAATTCCTGTTATGTGTTACAATAGGGGTCACTTAAAAATTAGGGATTGATGGTGAAAACGAGCATAAGTATCACTGGTGAATTTAAATACTTTTTATAAGCATCAAAGTCAGTCAGCGTCAGTCTTCACAAGTTCACAGAAATACATAGCAGCTGACCATACAAATTAGTTATCATAAGGGATCAGGCTGTTAGAGCAGTTATAACAAAACCGACACGTTTCGTAAGTACCGACGTTAAGTTACTAAAACGAAAATTGTTAACGTACCACAATTGGATTAGATGGTGTATCTTCAGCAGAGATGGTGAGAAGCGGTATTTCATTGTTGTTCAGGGAGTAGCAAAGAGGCTCTACACGAAGGTACGCCCCCACTGGCAGTTGCAAGCTCCACTGCCAAATCCGTGTCTGAAAGATATTAAAAAATCTATCAATGCCTTTGTATTCCTGAAAGTCAAATGCCACATTTAGAATTCTAATCGAAATAGCACAAATTATATAATTATGTACTATACAGAATATTATAATTCTAAACGCGGCGCTTTGGGGCCGAATAAGAGATGTGTATCTCGTTATATCAAATCTAGGAATGAAAAATATAAGAAAATAACAAATGCTATGTGAAAGGCTAGTAAGTAAGCATATATCTTACCAACATCATAGAGTACGTGAAGGGGAAGTGGTAGGCGAGATAGCACACGTCATTGGTGTGCGGGAACTCGATGTTGAAGGTCACCGTGAGNTTTTTTTTTATCGACAAGATTATGGTGATTTCGAAGATTTCTATGGGGCAATAATACATTGAAGGTGCTGGCGACTCGCGAGAAGCGACTTGCCTCCGTCTTCGAAGTGAATATCACAGAATAAGTATTCCACTGATTATAGGTACCTAAACTTCGCTAAGATAAATTAAGACGAGTGTAAGATCTCTGGTGTTTCCGTTTAAACCGTAAATGTATTAATTTAATATAAGAAAATTAAGCGGATGTTATTTTGTCAGGACATATCATTCGAGATAGAACTATAAGATAGTGTTTATATATACGTGACGTACCTAGTTAAGTGTATTAAGTTGAATCTCAAGAATTTAAAGAATAGTGATGTAGCGAAGGTAATAAAGTTTAAACTTTTAAATTACTTGTTTCATTTTGTGATATAACCGTATGACGGGAACTGACTGACGACGGCACACACATTGCAGTTTAATATTCACCACAAAGTTTAAGAGTAGTCGTAAAAGTTTGGTGAATTCTTTCGCCATTTTTTCACCCAAATATGGTTGGCAAGAATTCAAAACAGTTGTAAAAGACTCACCAGCCGTTGACGACGCCTTCCACGTTGAGCATGGGCACGATCTTGAACACGTATTTGGCTCGCAAAGCCGCAGCCGCCGTGGAATCACCCAGCAGGCAGCCCATGGTGCCGTCCATCACCCAAGATGCGTTGCTTTCGCCAGGGTGCACGCGGGCTGTTAGGAACACTATCTCTCTGTCCTGTAAATAAGTTGAATAGCCAGTTATGAAAATAGTTGAAGGTATAGTAAGGGTATGTGTATAGATGAATACTTAGATGGGGTACACTGAAGCTTCACCAACATGGTGGATCATACTTCTCATTACTATAGACTGAACTCCACTAGTGAATTGAACTTTTTATTAGCTATCAAAACTTATGGCGTCATTTGTTACCAGGTCATTTAAATTACCGAGATCATAAGATCAGGCTTTAGTTACGATAAAACAAATAGATACGACTGTAACTGAATCTTACCACAATTGGGTTAGATGGTGTATCTTCAGCAGAGATGGTGAGAAGCGGTATCTCATTGTTGTTCAAGGAATAGCAGAGGGGTTCTACACGTAGGTATGCTCCCACTGGCAGTTGCAAGCTCCATTGCCAAATCCGCGTCTGCAAAATATTAAAAGAAATAATCAATATAACATGAACATGAATTTATGAAAGCCATATATAGGTCTAGAAAAGCACTTTTAGAATACTAATCGAAATAAATTCTATTCACCAATTAATTCTATACTTTCTAAGCAATTTATGAATATTAAAATTCTAGCGCAACTTTAGCCCCGAATAACAGAGGTGTGTCTCATCACATTAAATAAAGGAATGAAAAATATAAGAAAATAACAAGGGCAATGAGAAACGCCAGTATAATTAAGCATATCTTACCAACATCATAGAATACGTGAACGGGAAGTGGTAAGCGAGGTAGCACACGTCATTGGTGTGCGGGAACTCGATGTTGAAGGTGACCGTGAGGTAGCACTTGTTGTGGTTCTTCTGGTTCGCGTAGTGGTAGCTGTTGCGGTAGTAGCAGATGTCAGAGCCGGCACGAACCCATCCTGAAATTTGAAGACAATAATTCATCTATAAAATAATCTTATCAATTTTGTTATTTCAGTTCCTGGCACTATTCGGTTATTCTGTGCATATGCACCGGGTTTTAGGGTTATTTAGATCTATGTGTTTTGCCAAAATTAATGTTTTCGACTCTAATCCTAATCGGTGTAATCTGCGCACTTCCATACATGCCCATACTGATTAACTGCTCGACTAAATTATCGGTCGACAATAAATCGGTGGTCTGCGCCTAAGGCTTAGAATGAGACAAAACAAATACCCAGGTTAAATTAGATTTCTAAACCATTATTAATAAAGTTACCTGGTTTTCCCATAACAGCTTCCTTCACGGAATACAGGACCGGCTTCATGCCGAAATTAAACTGGCTATCAGACTTCTCACAATTGACAATGTTGAAGATGTAGGGTCGGCCCTGCTGCATATTCCGAACCTCGAAGTAGAACCACTGATGACGTTTAGTCGAGTTCACATCTGGCATCAAGATCAGCTCGTACTCTCTCGGACCTACCTGGAGGTAAGTTATTAATTAGCAATTTTCAATGTATTTGTAAATAAAACTTATGAAACTATAAAGTTTAATACTTATAATTACCTGAATGACTTTTCTTAGATTCCCCGATTCAAATCTCGATTCAAAACTTAATCGAGATGAAAAACTGTTTACTTTAGTAATTTCTTGTTCATCGGAGTTGGCAAGAAAAATACTATCATTGCTGAAATTAAAATAGTAGGTACAATAGTTATTGCATGATCACGAGTGCTACTACCTATTTAAAGAAATTTGATTACCTTCTCTGTACTGTGGCATCAGTAGATGTGCCAGAACTGCTTAGTTGGTCTAAGTCGTATACAACTTCGTTCATATACGCCTCTGGATTTATAGCTCTATCCACACATGACAGTAATTTCATCCTGAAATATTTGATTTAAGAGCGCATTAACATTAATGAATCTTTGCAGACTCATAAACATTATCATAACGATAATTATTTATTATTTAATAGCCAGTGCGGATGTATTGCAAACCTGCATGCGGATCGTTCCATTTTATTGAGAGGCTCTGGTTGATTATGGCCATGGCCACCCTTCATGTCTGGATAGGCTACTTTGACGAATGGTATTACACTTCTGACCCTTGATGATATAGTGCTGTACACAGAAGCAAACGTACTGTACTTCGATATATCTTTGTGTATTTTGAGGGAAGAGCAAGAAGTGGTTGCTAAAATAAAATGTATTATTAAATAAAACTAAATTCACCATAGGTGTCAATAAGTTTGGTAATGAAAAGTAACTTACAGGTACTTTCATGGATTTTGTGATAACCTTGCAGTAAAGATGGCGAAGGGGAGGAACCGAGGAAGTTATCATAGTCTGTATTCCCCAAAACTGCTGTCAGGGACAAGTTCAATGAGGAAGGAACATTTCTGTTGCCACCTGTTTGAGATCCAAGGAAATCATCTAGTATGGACCCACGTGAATTAGACCGACTTTTGACTAGTCTTATCTGTTTGTTGTATGATCCAAATTCTTTAAAAAATATAAAATATCTGAAAGTAACAAAACATCATGTAATTATTTTAATAATTTTGTCTTAGTTAAAAGCGTATAATGACTATTAGCATACTTTTTTAAGTCTTCTATATCTCTCTCATTAGGATTAATCCATAGCGAGCTTTGTAAGCTATCACCACTTTTTATAAATACTTTCTCTTCATCATTATTCTCTCCTTTCAATTCTGTTTCATCGAAATCTATGTCTGGAAACTCATCGATGCCTTCATTGTCAGTGTCTGGACCATCATCATCAAGGTCTGAATTGACAGTCTTTGAATCGGAATTGGCTGCATCTTCTTCATCTTCATGGCATGGCCATAAAGTATTAGTACCTGTACAATTTTGTGTGATGAGTTCATTATAATTAAAAATAAACATGATAATGATATTGATAGTGTCATGTACCTTTCAGGATAGGGTTAAGGTTGAAGGAAGCTGGACTGGATGCAGGCACCGGCAGCGCTTGGTGCTTGAGGCATAGCGTGATCACTGAGCAAACTCGAGCCAAGAGCCCGTCAAACTCCGGCTCGTCCGGACACTGAGAGCAGAACCTGTGGAGCGTCTGCACGTGTTTTTTCGTGCACAATGCACGACGTCCGGCCTCTGGAAAATGTAGTCAATTTCCAATGTTATTTGTAGTCATGACATATGTTCGGCATTTAATCGTGTTTATGATATGCCCACGTGCTTTGATATGAACATTTACGTTAATATCGAGTAGACATGTTTATTTGATGCATTCCGTGTTGCATTCGTAACAGTAATGATGTGGACATAAACAAATGCATTTAGTTTGACGACTACTCTTGCAAAACAAACTAGGGTGTGACTATGTGTATGAAACATTGAACATCTTTAACATTTAGAACATCCTTGAACCTTACTTTGCTTGCTGCTAATAAATTTGGATAATTCTAGAAGATCAGCGTCTGGTATACGTACTTATGTTGCAAAGGTGTTGCAGCGTCTGCAGTATGTGCGCGCAAATCTTGAGGCGCATGCGTCCCTCGTAGCGGTCCCAGCGGTCGAACACCCTGAGGAGCACGCTACAGAGGCCTGTCTTGACGATCTGCATGCAGCACACCTCTGTGTGAGTTACGCACGTGTCACTCAACGATGTGGACATGCACACATTGTTTAGAAACAATATGGAAACAAAAACCAGTGGCGTATTTAAGTGCAAGCTAGTATTTAATGCTTACAATCTTGAAGTAGTTAGGCTATTTTACTACAGAAATTACATCATTATACCAAAACATACTAGTTAACTGAAAGTGTAAAAGATTTTTGGCACGGTTTTAGCGTAAAAATAGGTGTCCAACAAGATTAGAAACATTAATTATTGTCTGAACAATTTGTGTATTTTTTTATAACAAGGCCTTTTATGCTTTGGGGACAGCTCAAAATATTTATTACGCCACTGATTATAACATTGAATCGTCACGCTTATAAATGTGTAGGTGGAACAGATACATAATAATGCTTTGGTGATAAGTATTCATCATTCGAATGTGACATACACCGACGTGTAGTGAGCTTTTGCAGTGTGCTTGTCCTATTGTATTCGAACATGTATCAGAATAATTAATCACATTAATGGTTGTTGTTGAACCTTGGGTGGAACATTGTTGTCACTTAACTGTTTTTGCTGAAGTAGTCTATAGCGTCCAGGCAAAGGCGAAGCCTGGCTGTTGGGATGAAGCCCAAACTTACGAGTACTCGCTCGTAAGTTGCTATGACGCCATCACGGATCAAAATCGACGTTGTTATAGCTGAAATACAACAAGAAATAACTTATATATTACATGCCATATCACATAACGTTAAAAAATTTTCAACGATATGTAAAAAGTAGCGATTGGAGGCATATTAATTTACCATTCTTTGCAAGTTGTTTCATTATAACAAGTAAAGGAAATATCAACTTGTTATCCGTGAAGTGTCCCTTTAAAATAAGATGCATTGTTCTGACGCAGCCCAACATTCTCACTTTCATCGCGAACTTGGGATCTGAAATGAAGTGAACATTTTCATTTAGCTGAATAATTTTTCATCATTACTTTGATTGTGATACAACAAAATGAAAATAATTTGAGGAAATACTGGAATGAACGCGTGATAACCTCGTGAGCCAAGCGGTGCTAGAATCCAGACGAGATCTTGCAAAATGATATCAGTGCCGGCGTGGCGCTCCCGCTTGTCGTGAATCGTTCCGATGACCTTCCTGATGATGACGTGGGTGCCCTTGATCTCAATGAAGTTCTGGGCAGCCTGCTGGCGGGCGATGTTGTTGGCTGCAAGCAAAGGGCAGAGGCGAGGGCTTTAGCGTACCTCTGGGCGCGAGCGAGGCGAGGATCCACACGAGGTCCTGCAGCATCAGCTCGGTGCCAACGTTGCTGTCGCGTTTGCCGTGCGTGGCTATCATCGTGCGGATCACCGCCTGCGAGCCGTTTATCGATACGAAGTGCTGCGCGCATTGCTGCCTCGCGAGGTTGTTCGCTGAAATACACCACACCGACCGTTTGTAATCGTAAATATTTTCCAATGGTGGAAAAATATGGAAAAAACCGTGCATCAATAAATATTACAAATAATTTTGGTGTTAATTTAGAAAAAGTAATACTGCAATTGCTCAAATCAAAAGCTCATTCATATTTACAGTTGCAATTGAATAAAGTGGAAGATATAACGCATACAGTACCTCTACCTAAAATCCATTTTAAAATATTTTCAATTTCAAATTTCAAACATTTCTAAATCTAAGGGATTATGTACAACTTTGTGACAGAAATATAGGGTTTCTTAAAATCGTTACCTAAAGAACGAGGCTAAGGACACATTAAAGAAGCCTGATTCGGTAATTCCATTAGGGTATTCGTGACGCCTACAATATCTTCGATACCGAAATACAGACCATTACTTAAATGTTTATGTTAATTTGATTAGAATCAGCAGTACGGTGATTAATAACAATGGAGGTACAATCTCTCTGATTCAATAAATTACAAGGTTATGTTGTCCAATGTCAAGCATCTCTTTGTAAGCTCCTCGTGAATGTCAGTGCGCAGGACTACTTACTCCCAGTGGTTAAGAAAAGGCTCTAGTAATTATTATTTCGCGTGCATTAAAATTTATTGTGCAGATTTTGAACTTGAGAACTATTTGCTTTATGAGGTTTGAAAATTTCATATTTTTCATTATGTTAATGGCGGGCATACATTGTATTTACATTAATAACGTTATTATTCCAAGGTTTCCAGCTTTATTTGTTAGAAAAGCGTCAATTTGGTACAGTTTAAGCGCCACACGGTTGACATACCCTTTTTTGCCAGAGGCATTTTATTTTCTTTGCCAGTCTTTTTGATATCCTTCTTCTTGTTAGGTGGTGCTTCGATCGGAGCTGATTCGTCAACAAATGTTGTGTTTACATTATTTGCGGGTTTATACGATTGATATTTATGTAAAGTTAAAAAAGTATTTTATAAATACCTGAGCACTTTTTTCCTTTTCCTTGTTTTAAGCATAGCGCTTCTCTAAGTATCGATGTTATATAGGTAGATGTAGCTGTATCCCGTGTGTTCTGTAATCAAAATATGCCATGTATGAGGAGTTTAGAACAAACAACACAATTTGAATTACCATAAAATTAAAAAAATATGGATATGGTGCGGCGCACTGTCTAAGTCTTCAGGAAGCCTTAGATACATTTGTAACTTTTTATGTGCTACGAAAGCGCTGCAATAAGTCGCAGTGTGTAAAGAGCCTACAATAAAGCATGTGGGATGGGACTGTCTAGCCAATGTTCAACATCTCTTTGAATTATTCATACCTCCAATATCGAAAGCAGCATTTGTACAGCTCCCGACTGTTTGTTCCAAAGCTTGTCCAGCGTGCTCTGCCGAACATGTTTATCTGAAATTAAACAATTGAAACCGGTTCAAATAACGACCACCAATAAATAATTCAAAAATACTAATAGTTAATTGTATTACCCAAAAAAGGGAGCGGATATATTTAGACCATTTTGAATAATTTATGTGTCTTTTCGATTGCTTTGTTGCTTGATATAGGAAACACGAAGTATTAATTATTGGGATCATTCAAGTTTTTAAATCCATTGACCTTTAAAATAACGAGGCAATACACTACAAGGCAAGTACAGAACTGCCATATTTTTTTCATAAAGTATTTAACATATGAGCAGGATTGCCCTGCTCATATGATGATATTCAAGATGTTAAGTGAATTTCTCAGATCGAAATTACCATAAAATTGAGATGTCATCCTTAAAACATCTCGCCATTTTTGTACATCGGCCGTTATATTCATTGAAATTAAATGCTTCCTTAACCGTACTTACACAACAAACAAGGCGCGATGATGATAACAATTTCAAATTGTCTTTTTAAATAATGAGTGTGCTAGGGTTGACATTTTCAAAAAAATAGGATTAATCAAACAATTTATCTGTCTCTCGTATATGTTATTTTAGTATAGTCTTTTTTAGTTGGCATTTCATCACAGACCGCATCTGCGGTCTGATTTGGGTAAACATGCATTCAAAATAGCTATGTAAGTTCGGCATTGTAGTACTTATCGATTTTATAAAAGCAGCTATTGTTATCTACAGTTTTATCAGTGTTGGATCATTTATTACTATCTGAAATTAAAGCCAATACTCCTGTGTGGCTCTACAATGACAAAAGAATGTTCGACATGAAATGTTTGTTTACATTGTTCAATAAAATTAATGTAGCGTTCTTTACAATTCCGTTCTTTTATTTACATATCGACATTCCACAATAATTGAATATTTACAATTAATACGCATAGTGATTAAATGAGTAGGTTTTTGCAATACTTAGGCCGAGTTGCACCATCTTACTTATACTTAACAATGTCAAAATCTGTCAAGCTCCATACAAGAATACCGGTTATTGTTAGTTACCGTTAAAGTACGGTAGTGCTACCCAGCCTTAGTGTAACCGTGTGACAGGGGTGGCATATGGCAAAATATAGCTGTCACGGTATACTTTGAAGCACGTGACACGTTTAAAGTCTTGCTGAAGTTCGACGTCAGAAAAACATCACTACCGCACTGTTCTGCTACAGCAAGAACCTATTTATATACGCTATACCTGTAATGACAATGTGACAACAAGTGGTTTATAGTCAGTACTCGTATATTATGTTGTTTGTAGGTACGCGAGGTGCTTGCTCTTTCAGCGACCGTGGCTTCCGCGAGATGTGTCGCGCCCACCGGGCTGAGGCGGAGGCCGACTAGTGGTCTTTCCAACTCGCCCATCTAAAATTATGTGCTATAGTGAACACAGCATTCTCGCATAATTGCCTCGCACGAACACTGATATGTCACGCTCCATTTCAGCAGAATTAATTGAAGCATCAACTGCCTTAAAGTAGTGCCAGAATCTATGGCCGCACGATATTAGCCGATCGTGTGGTTATGATAGTTTTATTTCAGTTCTCATAATTGTGCACGATATTAGTCGATCGTGCGGTTATCATAATTTTATTTCAGTTTTCCTGATTGATCGCTTGTTGTGTTAAATGAAATTGGCATGTTTTAATATTGTTTATTATGATTACAAATAATGATTTCATTTGCAATTTTATTCAGATTGGAACATTTATTGGTATTTAATTTGTTTTCATTAGCGTCATGTGTTTAAAGTTTTAACGTTTTTATTACAAGTAATAAATGTATTATTTCAAATAATTGGAGTGAATCTCTGCAACATGAATGCATGCCGAATATCTATGAAAAATAGGTGTAGGTCTGCACCAGTGTCAAAGATCGGTATGCGCTGCGGAAGAGCGCATAAATTAGTTCAAGTACATAGTTGTTTATAATGTCTTTGGATCATTGCAATAATGGCCTACTTCGTTTACAATAGGGTTGTCAGCCAACAATGTATTAGAAAAATACCTGGAATACTTTATAAATGAAAATTACTAAAGAATTACTGAAACTGTCATAAGCACGTTTAGTTTCATGTTTGACATACGTACCTACATTCTACCCACTATTTAATTAAAAAATAACGAGATTCAATCCTAAAATGGATATTATGCTTTCCGTAAGCTTCTAGTCAACGATTAATTAAGATTGTATGATGCAGAGGGTGTCAAAAGACGTAATCCAGGTCGCTCAGCTGCGGAGTTAGCAAATCTAACTCTATCCGCAAAGAGCGTATATCCCTACCTAGGTATTGTTCCCCAGTCAGCAACCCTGGCGCTCCAGATGACAGTCTCGGCCGAGGTGGCTGGCGCGGCGCCAACGCGGCACGCGCTTCCCTGCCACGTCACTATAGGGCTGCCACTCACTGCACTAGTCAAGGGCCGTCCGTCACTCACTATTGAAGGATTGTTGTTCACCGCACTATTAAAAGGTTGTCACTCACCTCACTTCAAAAAGGCTAGCGAGCCACAGCCATGCAGTAGCACTATTAAAGTACTGTCACTCACCTGGTTATTATCATTCAGAAAGCTGACAAGGTGAAATGAGTTCCGATTTTCTATTAAGGCCAGAGTTCATTACAGACAGAAGCAGCGATAAAACTGTTCATTAATTTTCTGCAATTTACACTATTACTGTTTTAAATTCAGATAATTATAAGCCGAATGAGAGCTTCAGAGCAAATAGCAGCAACATAACAGATCGCTATCGTAGCTTTGATTTCGACACTGAAGACAGGCAGCAGCGACAAGATGTTCATTTCAAATTCATAATCGAAAATGAATCGACTATTTACTGGGCATGTTAATTAGTAAGGAATATCTTGGCTCGCTCGCTGCTCCTGCCTGTTTAAGTCCAAATCAAACCTTAACAGAACTATTGCTGTTTGTATGCTTCCCAACTACGTCACAGCTGGATAGGGTTGTCATTCGCCTTGCTATTACCATTGAGTGCCAGATTAGATAGGCGACCGCAAGTACAAACAAGTTCCTGACATTGTAACGGGCTCAAGTTGTGGAAATCAGGAATTGTAGTGGGAGGGTGTGGGTTTGTGCACTTATTAGTGAAACAAAGCATTTATTTACATGTTTCAAAGATTACGGGATTCGTTAGTAAGGTCGCATTGTCTTAGCATTGAAAATCAATTTTATTAGTCTGTATAATTTGATTTAACAGTTACAGAACTTGCACAATGTAACTGATAATAACACTATTGTTTGTTTTAAAAACACTGCAATCACGTCAATCTGTTATTTTCGCTTTATTTTGTTCAACCTACATGTACAAACGACCACACATTATGCTAAATACTTTAGCATTTAATAGAGTTGTAATAGTTGCGATTGTGCAACAGAACTGTGTCTTTCGTGCTGCCGACTGTATACAGTTCTTTCTGGCAGACAGTGTATCGTCAGTATAACATGAATAACTAGTATTTTACGGTGGGAATTTGGCATAAACGCAAGTGACGCGCCTCACGCCCCGTGGCAACAACAGCAGGATGTGGACTCAGCTGTTTCCAGCTCTATCTTTCTACTGTTTTGCGAACTCAATTTGCAACACTAACTTTCGCCTTCGGGTTCGTCTGTGTCGATCCGTCAAAGAATTTTTTTATCGCGTTTCGACAAAAACCATCAAATTATAACTGAGTATTAGAAAAATATATTTTTACGTAAACTTAAATTACCGTGGTAAAAGGCACATAGACAAATAGATATCTACTTTCATATTAGTAAGTTCAATTTCTTTTGTCTCTATAGAAGAATGAAAGGCAAGACGGTTATAAATTCAGGGTTATTAAACGTCCTTGCACTAAAATATTAATAGGAATTCAATAATAAAAGCTTCTAGCAGTTCTAGCACACTGAAAATTCTATTTTGAACCCAATAGAGCTTTCAATGAGCTGTAAAGAATGCAAAAGCACAACATCATCATTACATTTAATTAAGACAAAACGCACTGCTATGCAAATGGCGTGTGTTTTATTATGCGTTCCACAAAGACTTTATTTCTTCCTTAATTTATCAAGTGGTGGCAAGCTCCTTTGTGAATTAAATGGTTTATGCGAGTGACAAATATGTCACACTAATTAGTTGAGGATTAAAACATGAAAGAAGAGGATGCATCATGGCTGTTCACGTGGGAATGACACCTGCAATTTGATTGAGGCATTGAGGGGCATGCGGTGGATCTAAGTCAAAGTCAAAGACAAAAAGTGCGTAGGTAAACAATGCCGACTACTACTGCATTTGTCAGGGTTTTGGTACAATGGGTTTCTAGCCGTCACTGAAAGACAATTTTGGATTCGTACTCGTATACATCATGAATTTATATTTCCTCTAGAAATTGCTAGAAAACAAAGGTACTCGTACTCAGGACTGGTATATGAAGGTTGTTCATGTAAATAATTTCATTTCAACATTTATTAACATTGACGTGTTATTGATTTATTAGATGCCCTCTAATTATAACTACGCGGATTTTTATTTTAATTGGCGATTGTTGCAGTTTATTTGCCACACATGAAAACTCATCGATATAAAAAAACAATATAGTTTAATTAAAATAACACCTTTCAGTAAATTGCATGACAACATCGAGCACATTTTTAAAGCATTTCTCCTCCCAACTTAATAAATATTAGAATACTAGAAACATGATGTATTAGTACAAGTGGTTATCCGCGACGTTCTCGTAACAGCCATCATAACATTGGCGACGTTGCCAGCGATCAAATTGTAAACATGTCCCTGCCCCCGGCTGCCAAATAAATAATCGGAAATCTAGGCAAGTGCAAAACTAATTGATGTTATGTAATTTACAATTTGTAAAATTACGACATTACGCTTAGTAAAGTCATAATTAGATTACACAAAATTAAAAACTTTATTGATATTGCATTTAATTAGAAATATTTTTTTAAATTAAATATTT